CGCTATAATTGATATCGACAAAATATCGGATTACATACATCAAATTCTGTTGCATACCGTCACGATCAATTTACTAGGGGAAATTGGAATTCAATTCAAACACGGCCGTACATGTTTTATTTAAAAGTTTAACGAATATCATTCGACATCAATAAAACATTGAAATTCACCGTTCCCGTGCCATGAGAAATTTCACACTCCGTAGTTATCCCCAACGATATGATTATCCCCAACATTTCCATTTCGACGAGTTTCACCGCTTCATTTCTATTGTCATTACATCGTTTCATTACATCAGCGTTACACATACATATGTATATATTTTTTTCAGGGTTTAATACAGTCAACCTCGGTGGTTTCGACTCCTCATTATCTTCAAAATTAATCGCCACTTTTATCCTGACGTATTCGTCCTTGTTTCAATCACATTTAGTTCTAACATTCCATTTCATCGCAGAAAATTCTCCACGTTAAAAAATGATGAATCTTCTCTTGACAAAATATTAGAAAATTCTCGAAATCGGCGAGGGTCAGCCTCGAAAATTACTAAATATTGGGAATAAGAATGATTAAATCTATTAAATTTAGTTTAAAAAAAAAAAATCCTCAGAATACTAGGAGAAATACAAGAGATAATTTTGATAAACTAATACTAATTTTCACAAATATCTGACGTTTCTCCCTTTAATTTATAAAATACTCTAACTACTGAAGTACTATTTTAACAGATTTTTATTTATTACATAAATTCCATTTCGTGAATTTTCCTGCCTTCGAGTTTCACATAAACACGCCAGAATTCACGAATCGACCTTTTAATCGCCTTTCGCGACACGCAGGAATTACGTTCTCCCCCCCCCCCCCCCCCCCGGGCCCACACAAGAGAGAGGGGGAAGGTTATCCCAGTCGATTTGTGCTCCTCTCTCCGCTATTTCAACAAACGAACACACGTAAACGTGCGTGTCACGCGTTCAATCAGCGTTAATTAGAAATTAATTTCCACATCTCTCTCTCTCTCTCTCTCTCTCTCTCTTTTTCACACACACACGTGCGTACGTACACTCTTTCCCTTTCTCCTCACTCGGGCGAATTGGCAAACGACAAGCTCGATGATTTCGCTTCAGGAGATAACAGAAATCCGGCCTGTTGTTCGGATTCGAGGTGGGAATCAAGATGTAAATTTCACTCTGGTTAATCGTTTCCAAATTTCCAGCGAAATTTCGTAACGAAATTTTTCCATTGAACGGGCGCTAAGCGTTAATGGAATTCCCGATCGGCGAATAAATTTCTTTTTCAGCGTTTCGTTATTATCCGATTTCCAGGTTATCCGTTCCGATCGCGTTTGCTCCGCGAGAAATCCTGATTTATTGACCGCGGATAGGGCCGCGACCAGCGGTAATAAAACGTTGTTTTTCGCGAGCGATTTCGCGGATTTGGCGATTGTTAATGTTGCCTTTCGTTCCGAGCTGTTGAAACAACGACGATCCGAATTGGTGTTGCTTTATCTTGATATTACTTCGTGTTCTACCATCAAGCAATCGAAAATTTTCGTTTCGATTTGTTAGCAATTTCGGGGAGCTTGTTGAATTCGACGCGAGCAATTTCGTGGATAATTTCGTTAATAGTCGAAGGGGAAGAAAAATGCTTAAGGAAGAGGGAGAAATAGAATTACTGTGTCAATGTATTCTCTTTCTGTTTGGGAGATCCTCAAAATTATCGAGCCATGGGCGAAATTGGGGAAAAGATAAAAAATTCAAGAAAAACACGTCAATTTCAATGAACAATAGTGCTGTTAATTCAATGTAAGCGCTGCCACGCCATGATATCTCGCAACAAGTATTAAAACTGAGAAACGACAGGAACGGCGGAAGAAGAGGATAAGAAAAACGAGGAAAGAAAGTGCATAACGCGGGGGAACGCTTATTGTCGGAGGAACTCGATACTCTGGCAAGAGAGGAAATGCTCACGAAACCTTCGACGCTTGATAAGTAATAAAACCAACTGCCGACGGAAAACTGTCCCTGGTAAAAAGGAAAACCGGCAAAAGAGAAGGACGAAAACGGTGGAAACGATAAATGATAAGGAAATAAGAGGAAATCAACGACAACTGTTTTCATACGAAACAGCAGGGGCTCCTTGCCAGCGTAACTCCCTAGTTTTCTTCCACTCTCCGCCTGGGAAATTTCGTTTCCCAAGCTGGCGGAGCTGATTCGCGACTCCGAATCACTCTCCTCGCCTCGCCTCTCCACTCTTTGTCTTTGTTTTTTACTGCGACGTGATCCTCAGAAACTCGCTGCCAAAAATCGTCGATAACAACAGGCCCAAAGAAAGGGACTAAGAGCCGCGCAACAACGGACTCGTAGAAGTTTCTCGTCGCATTACGACGGTTGTGATCCAATCCTCTCGCGAACTGGATCGTTTCGACTTCGAAACGCACAGACGCGATGTTCCACAGTTGAATCGTTGATAGTACGAGTCTCCGGGGAGGGCAGGGTAGAGTCTTTGGACTCGTGGAATTGGAAACTTGCGAATGTAAATTGTACATAATGTGTATGATAAACACGTTGTATGTATTGTTTCGCTATGTATGCGTTTGTATTTTACTTCGTGCAGTGTATTTCACTTATTAATATATTTCGTACATTTATTATTTATTACAGTATATTTTGTGCATTGTATTTTGTTATTACTATATTTGTGCACGTATATACGTAGTAAATAATATATAAATATGTGTAATGTAAATATATAATATTATATATATTATATATTACAAATTTATGTAAATTTTAATATTATATACATTATATATTATAATATTAATATTATATACATTATATATTATAATATTAATATTATATACATTATATATTATAATATTAATATTATAATATTATAATATTATATATTATTAAAATATTATACCATTTATATAAATATTAATATTATATATATTATATATTATGAATTTATATAAATATTAGTATTATATATATAATACTTATATAATATATATATTATTTATATATTTACATATATATTATTATATAATATAGATTTATATAAATATTAATATTATATATTAAAAATTTATATAAATATTAATATTAGATATATATTATTTATATTATTAATATATATTAAATAATATATATAAAAATGAATAATATATTTGAATGGTATAATATTTTAATAATATATTTATGACAGAAGATTTCACAGAATGCAGTATAAAGATTCGACTTGTAGTTTGAACACCGAGCAAACAAATGGCGAACCTTCGAGATTTGAGAGTAAAATCCGTTTGTCACAAGGTAGTTTTTATTTCCACTTAGAATCCAACTGCGGACGATGAATTTGCCACAATTAGAGAGGCAGAGGGGGAGGGAGAACTAAAATACCTTTCTACCGCGGTGTTCCCGCTTTAATGAATAGCGTCCCCGAATTGCAACTAATCCACCTCGACGCCTCCGTGACAAATGGCCGGTGTAACCTTGTAAACAACCGTGTTACAAATTCGTCGGGCAGCGTGGAACGGGGAAGCCCCCAATATTGCAGACGCACGCTCCGATATTCTCCTGAAACCTCGCCGTAAGAGGATTTCCCCGAGGCTCCTTCCAGTCTCTCGTCAATCTTTCGTTCTTGTCTAGATTTTTTTTTTTCAAAGATTCGGTCAGACTCGGGTAGACAGATCCTCCTCCACTCGATCTTGGGCTGTCCAACTTTGAATTTCCAATCGTCGCAGCGTATTGTTCTTTTGAATCCATTTACGTGTCCTGTCCCGTTGAATTTCTCAATCTTTTTTTTTTTCTCTCGCGCGTCGTAAATGCGTTTGCGTTTTTCCCGTTGGTTCTGCGAATTTCAGATGAGAATCGATAGCCACCGGTTGAACAATCGTACTTTTCCGCCAATTTAATCAGGCGTCTCTATGTCGTTGATTTGTGTTATCCGTGCGCTATTGCACCTTTGAAACGCAGCTCTCGCCCTTCGTTCATATTTCGGTGTTTGTTTTACGATGAACACGCACTGTACAATGGTAGAAACGCAATTTTTTCACAATGGGAAACGCGGATGTACAGCTGCACGGAGGTGGAAGAGGGATTTCGAACATGGGCCGTTTGAATGGTAATCGGGGACATTTACTCGCGTGCCAACATTTGGCCGTGTGTTCTATATGTAAAATAACTCGTGATAAGCATCGCGTGCGATTTAAATTCTCTTTTGCCGTAGAAAAGTATAAATATGTATATTGAACTATATATTATAAGCATAAATATATATAAATATATTTAACTATGTATGAACATAGTTTCATACTGTAAATATATATATTCTACTATATATTGTAAGTATAAAAATATGTAAATATATATATTCAACTATATATTATAAATATATATATTTAACTATAATATTATAAGTATAAATATATATATTCAACTATATATTATAAATATATATATATATATATTTAACTATAATATTATAAGTATAAGTATATATATTCAACTATATATTATAAATATATATATATTTAACTATAATATTATAAGTATAAATATATATATTCAACTATATATTATAAATATTCAACTATATTAATATTCAACTACATATATTATATATATTCAACTATATTAATATTCAACTACATATTATATATATTATAAATATATATTATAAATATTATATAATATATTATATTAATATTATATAATATATTATATTAATATTATATATTATATTATATTATATATATTATATATATTCAACTACAACTATAAATATTTCCACATACAGAATTTTATTTTCCAAATTGCCGTTACAGTTCCTTGACAGAAATAAATGTAGACTTCCAGTCCTACGTTTTCATATCTTCCGCGCGTGGCTTACGCTGAATCGTCTGGCTAATATTTCGAGCTGACATCTCTCTTCCGGGAATGTCTTTGTCAACGGAGAGATATTCGGAGGGGCAAGATAAAATTGTAACTCTCCTCGGTGGATCTTTCGGTCAGTCGTGTATCTGGGAGAGAATGGAGTGTAACTTCTCCAAAAAATTGTTGAACACGGCCTCCAAACCGGGGACCGTTTGTTTGACGCACCATTTCGCGGTCGTCGGGCAAATTAGGATTATGGCGGCGACGGTGACCGTGAGGGGCGCGAGGAACACCCAGATTATCTATAAACAAGAGTCTCGTCATCTGTCGGCGAAGCACGATATTTCATTTATCTTCGACAAAAGTGCAAAGTGGTTGCTCCAACGCTTGTAGAATCGTGCTACTCGTTGCGTGAAACATTCTCGAATTTGAAAGTGTACACCAAGGCGGTGAAAATAGATTCTTTTTTTTTTGCCGAAACAGTAAATGCAACAAACGACACGTGAAGAAAAATGTCGATTTATCGGACATTAATTAACGGATTAATCAGCCGTTGTTTTCGAACGAACACAGATATTCGTGATATTTCTTGAACTGTAAATGCGATAATACATCGAAGTGCAAACAACATGTAGGGAAATATTGATTCGCCCGAGATTAATTAGCCGCACGGTTACGGATCTTTTTTCTGCTTTAATGAGCCGTGTAATTGGTAGAATGGGGAAAAGAAAACGTACGCGGAATAGAGTAGAAAAAGGGGAGAAAAGTGCACGGAAAATTTCGAGGCGAAATGAAGACCTGTGTAGAAAACGAAAAAAGAAAAAAGGAAAAAAGAAGGAGAAATGAATCGAGAGGAGCGTAACTTACGTAAGAAATCCAGGACACTATCAACCAGCCTAGCAACACTGTGCCAGCTGTGTTCAAATATGGCGCGTACTGCGGCCGTAGAACGTACTTCAGGCAGGGGAATTTCGCCCTCAAATCTGTCAGAATAACTTCGAGCTGCATGAAAAATTGATAGATAATAAAGCTGGAAATTTTCGTCGGCGGTTATTATTCACGTTGACGAGGTTATGCATACGCACTGTCATAATGGGATTACTATGATTTATGAGTCTGTTGGCCAACGAGAAACGAGTTTCAACTCCGAAATGTGTACAGTTATTCAGACGGGTGGGTGAGAGAGATTTCAATATCTTCTAACGAATTTCTGTCAGGTTTTCGAGTAAACAGAAAATTCAAATATTCTGCTGATCACAGATCTAACATTTCGGATCCGAGAGAGGGAATTTGTCACAGACGGATAATTTCCCACGTTTTCAGTAATTATTTGTACAATGAAATATTACTCGTTGATAATACATTCATGAATTTGTTAATTCAGTTCACACTCGGTAATCAGTGTACGCGTATAACAAATTCATTGGATTTTCTTTTTCAGTTGAATACAGAGTAGATTTATCAGATTTTATCGGTTTGCTTTTTTAATTATCCTTGTGGATGATGATAAACGATGTACTATAATTGCTTTCTTTAATTCTGTTGAAATTAATTTTCCAAAAGGGAATTTCTCCCTCTGAACGAAAAGTTTCGCGAAATACTAATATATATACTCCAAGAGGAGTTAAGAAACTTAATTTCCTAGAAATTAATAAATAACTTCCAACGAATCGTTGCCACTGGCAATTATTATAAAATAATTAACTTCTAAGAGATGACATTTATAAATAATTCATAGTAAGTTTCTTCGTAGAAAATGAGAATACTGTGGAATGAAATAAAATAATTTCCTCGGGATATATAGTTTGGAGATTGCAATGTAAATCACTATATACACTTACGTTCATGTTTGTGTATCTTTGTTACAAGACGCACACTGAAAAATTTACCATAACGAATCTTTTCGTCTTCGCTACATCTCACGTTGCACGGTTCACTGTCAGTTCGATTAACCCACATAAATTCCCTCAATTGACAATCGTTCGATTAGGATCAATTCAATTTCGCAAACTTCAAACGAAATGACCATTCGTTCTTGAAATATCCTCTTTCGAATGTTATTGGTTAATATTTTCAGAAAGAATTTCGTAGAAATAATTCCTTACGAATTCTTTTGGTGAACAATTTTTCGAAAATAAGAAAGAAAATTCTTCTTGGGGAATTAATAAGTCACGTTTTGCAGAGATAATTAAGGAAAATTAATTGACAAATTTCGATTCGTCGATCTGTTATTCCCGTTGATATTTAATTCCACAATTGTAAAGCCGCCAATTTCCATCGTCGGCTGATAAAATTGAAATTCCCCCTAACCTATTTGCTCGTTTCGTTTCAAACCTGATCTCGAGGCTGTAAAAATCATATCACACGCTCGCCGATAATTGCTTTTTAAAGCCTCCATGCCCTTAATACTCCCATTGCCAGTTTTCGATCTTCGTTAGAATTAAATTTAATTAATCCGTCGTATTAAATTTTCCCGCGATTTCCAATTTTCATATATTCCCGATGAACTCTCCTACGTGCCATCGTGAATCACTCAGCGACAGTAAAAATGAATCGTCGAACCTCGAAGAGGTTTCAGAAGAAAATATTGAAGAATTTTCTCCGTGATCTTGAAGACTCAAGCCTCGTAAAATCTTGCTGTTTTCACAATTCGTTTCTCTTCTACTCAACTTTATTGAACCGCGAACGTTAGGTTTGAATAATGAAATACTACGACTTTTTTGAACTTTTATATTTAACTTGTATATTTGACTTTAGTCTTTGAAATTGAATAAACCGACGAGAAAAGATCGTTTTTTAAGTTTAGAGAATTTTGCGTTAGCTTCTCTTTTAAATCTCTCCGCAATTTTTGACAATTTTCACGAATTTTCGCGTAGCTTTTCGCAATTTTTTCAAATTTTTTACAATCCTTCTCGTGCAAGTTTTACGTTCTACTTTGCTTCGCATGGTACAGCATTGGCAAAAACAAATACAAAAAAGTTCTAACGTTTCGTGGTTCTAATCCCAGCTATTCAAAGTTCAATAAAATAATGAAAAAGGTGGAAAAAATCATATAGCAAAGAATTTCAAAGAGGAAACCTCAATCATCGAAATTCTATTATATAACGTCTCAGTCACGAAAAGAAATTTTCGTATTCCACACGCTACTGTTTAAATATATCGACAACTTTTTTTTTCTTGTTTGAATTTTTTCTTGTTACTCTTTGCTGTATCGTTCGGTTCGAATCGAATTTAAGAGGTCAAGAACGGGCGGTTTTTCCGAGTGGAAATGTTTTCCTCGAATAAAATCGAGCACCGCGCTTTCAGAGTACGTACGCCTGTTTTTATTTAGCTGGATGCTCCAGTGGCAACGTTTCCCTCTCGCCCTCGAAAGAACATCGTCGAATACCACGTCATCCGCCGATAATTAATTTTCCCTGGCGAAATTTCAATTAAAAACACGTCAACCGCCGCTCGACTTTACACCATAGGATCATCACGCGAGAGTCGATCATAATTGGATATTGTTAGACCTCCTTTTTAACGTCTCCCGGTCATTTTTCTTCCCTCTGTTTTCCCACTCGTCTTCGTAATTTACGGAGAGATCCGGATAACAATAGCGGCGGGGGAGAATTTGTTTTCGACGCGAAAGTATTGATTTTATTAGACGAGAGGAAAAGTTCTTGGCTCGGTTATTTCAGCAACATTGCTTTGGCACTTACAGGTGACGTGAAATTTATTGCTTGTCAATCATTTCTATCCAATGATGTTGTACCAACGAATTCAAAAAGAAAGCAACGAATCATTGTATACGGCCACTCGTTATGGTCCGCAATCAATTGCCGTTAACCTCTCAGCGCTGGAATGACGTGCCACGCACGTCGAGAACTTTTTGTCCCAAAATTGCAATATTTTCTCAGTTTCAAGTATATTTAAGTATAACCCAGGCAAAACAAGTAATAAATTTATTATTTCTTAATAATTTCTATCTATCTACAGTGATGACATACCGGCAAGTTCAAAAAGAAAGCGACAATTTATTGTATACAGTTTGGTCGCTCGTTATGGTCCGCGGTCAGTTACCAGCGGCAAGTGCTTAATCTCTAACGCACGTCGAGAACTTTTTGTCCCAAAATTGCAATATTTTCTCAGTTTCAAGTATATTTAAGTATAACCCAGGCAAAACAAGTAATAAATTTATTATTTCTTAATAATTTCTATCTATCTACAGTGATGACATACCGGCAAGTTCAAAAAGAAAGCGACAATTTATTGTATACAGTTTGGTCGCTCGTTATGGTCCGCGGTCAGTTACCAGCGGCAAGTGCTTAATCTCTAACGCACGTCGAGAACTTTTTGTCCTAAAATTGCAATATTTTCTCAGTTTCAAGTATATTTAAGTATAACCCAGGCAAAACAAGTAATAAATTTATTATTTCTTAATAATTTCTATCTATCAACAGTGATGACATACCGACAAGTTCAAAATGAAAGCGACAATTTATTGTATACAGTTTGGTCGCTCGTTATGGTCCGCAGTCAGTTACCAGCGGCAAGTGCTTAACCTCTAACGCACGTCGAGAATTTTTTGTCCCAAAATTGCAATATTTTCTCAGTTTTAACTATATTTAAGTAAAACGAAATAGGCAAAACAAATGATAAATTTATTACTTGTCAATCATTTCTATCCAATGACGTCATACTGACGAGTTCAAGAAGAAAGCGACGAATTATTGTATACGGCCACTCGTTATGGTCCGCAATCAGTTGCCGTTAACCTCTCAGCGTTGGAGTCGAGAACATTTTGTTCCAAAATTGCAATATTTTCTCTAGTTTTAACTTTATTTAAGTATAACTCAGGCAAAACAAATGATAAATTTATTACTTGTCAATCATTTTCTCTATCCAGTGACGTCGTACCGACGAGTTCAAAAAGAAAACGACAAAATTATTGTATACGATTCGGTCGCTCGTTATGGTCCGCAATCAGTTGCCCAGCGCAAGTGGTTAACCAAGAGAACGGCTTCGCGCGTTGCAGAGAAAAGAATTTGAGCGTCAAATTTTCGAGTTCTTTCACTTTCAAGCTCTCGTACCCTCAAATTTTTCCTTACTCTCTCGCGTATTGTCCTCGAGTTTCCAAGTTCTCGCGTTTCACGGTCCCCGAACTTTCACGTTTCTAAATTCTCGAATTTTCAATGGGCTGGGAGGGTCGTTAAAGTTGCAAAATTTGAATCAACACGCAACAGGCAAAAAATCCTTTCCCGACATCGCGCGCGAGAAAAGAAAAAGAGGGGAAATGCACGCTTGTTAAACAAATCCGCACGAAGATATTTTTCTAAATGGTGTATAGCAGCGACTAGTGCGAAACTTTTTCGATGCTCCTCTCCGTTTTCCGTGGAATTTAAACTAGCGAGCTTTCAGAAAAAGCGCGAACGTTTTTTCCGCGTAGGAAATAATATTTTCATCGTTTTTTTTTTTTTTTTGTTTCTTTTCTCTCTTTTTTTTTATTTTCGACAACTTTCCGCCAAATCTCTCGGCAACTCTCCGCGCGCCTTTGTCCGTCCGCGTTTTTTTTCATTAGATTATCTCGCCATATAGCTCGCGTCCCGTAGAAAAATCCATTCTGTTCGTCAACAAAGGGGAGACAGCGTAAGAAAATAGGAGGCCACTAACGATGCTCTAACAACGTTGTAAATCTCACGGTACGGACAGCGCGTTACAGATCGACGTTGAAGAAACTCAGTTTTCTCTTCGAATGGAAACGAAAAAAAAAAAAAAGAGAAATGTACAGGATCGAAGAAGCATTCTTCGACTTTTGCTGCTCTTGGGAAAAAAGCGAGATAGAATGATTTTTGTAACAATCTATATAATAAATATATACATACACGAAAGAATAATTTTAATATTTAGAGATGTAAAAACGCACGCAGTGTAAAATATTATCGAAATGTAAATAAAATAGCCGATGCAATAATTTAACGGGATATTTCATTGGGATACTCAGAGTCATTGGAAGTCATTTATTAAACTGCGATTTTGTACATTGTATATTTCAGAAAAGCGTCGTTGACAAAGCTATTATTTGAGACGTGTATACGTATTTGAAGAGAGACTGGCAATTTTTATTGAACACCGTTGATAGTCGTCGCCTCGGAAGTATCCTCCTCGATGGATTTTCTCGATTCGTCTCGCACCACTTTGCCGTCGTTCGTCTCCTCAATTTGATCAGCACCGGGACTATGAACCACCGATTCTTCCTCTTTCTCTTCTAATTCTTCTTCCCTCGACGCTGGTACGAGAGGAAAATCACGTTCGCGAGGGAACGTTTCCTCAACCATGCCAGGTATAGCACTTCTGTAGTAAGGTGTCTCCGGTTGACGCATGTTTATGGTTAGTAATTTCACGGCTGTTACAGGGCCACGATCCACATGGATCTTGTAGTACGCGTCCGACGCCAGCCTTTTAGTCTCTCTCACCCCAAACTACGGACAGCCAGGTATTCAACATTAACTGGACACGGGCTTTACGAAGCCCTGCCTCTTATGTCTCATTTATCGATAGAAAATTTTTGAAAATTTCCAACACGCACGACGGATCTTGTTCAAGACAAGTGACTTTACAGATGAAATTAGTAGAGAAGAGGACTTTAAACGTTTGGTATTCAGATCTTTCTGCGAGACACAGATTCTAATGTTTTCTTTTTTTTTTTTTTTTTTTTTTTTTTTTGTACGAATCAGGCCAAGTTGTCACGCCGACGATTCGCTAAAAATTGTCATCGCAATCGTCGCAGTATTATTTTACAGAACGTAGCTGAAATGTATCTGACTGTCAATATTCGAAATTTGATTGACATCACTGGGAACTATTATTGGAAATTTGATCAGTGACAATCTAATGCCAACAACATTAACGATATTCAGTGCCCGCCGCTATTATATTACCACAGAAATTTCTTCATAAACATCGAGCTATTAGATACGACAGTCCTGTTCTGTCCCTAATTCTATTCGCTAATTACCATTTAGCAATCTGGAAAATTCACATGAGAATACGTAAATACTCCCGATTAATTTCTTGTTCCATCCTATTAATTAACTGCGTCGAGCGATTTTCGCGTGATTCTACAGCCGTCGGTGTGATCGTGACGTTGAAGAAGGCAAGGTGGAATCGCGTTAAAACAGAACAAGTGGACCGTTAACGTTTGGATTAATTAGTTTGCCGCTAGGAATATTCGTTGAAACGGGTGTTTGTCGTGCACAGTTTGCCAACGTTGGAGAAAATGTAAAGCCGCCTGCGAGACACTGCGGGGAACCCGGTTAAAATATTAGGTTATTACGCGATTTCGTGATCCTGCGACTCGTAGGATCTCGTCGCGCGAATTACGCCGGTGAAATTAGATCACCTATTTCACGCTCTCCTTCCGTGGATTCCCCGGCTTTTCGTAATTTCTTCCACGAAATTGTATTTTTCCACACCAAATGCGTGATTTCTTCTCTCCTTTCGCTTTCTGTTTTTTTTTTTTTACGTAGTAGTCGGGGCAAAGTGACAAAATGGATGAAATGAAACGAACACGCATTCCCCTTTCTGCTTTTTCTTACTTGTCCCTTTTTGCAAAGAATAAATATTCCGCACCACGAAGGAAATATTTCAGATCCCTAGACCTTTTTCCAGTTTGTTTGTCCGTGGTGAAAGATGGAAGAGTATTATTATTTCTGAAAAATGTTCGCATCTCTGCCTCTGTTAAAATGAAGATTTGCAAGATTCCTACGTTTCTCCAAATAAAGGATAATTCACCTAATTTGTTACCAAATTCGTGTCACGCCGGAAATTAAAAAATTCCCAATTTAAGTGGCCTGATCTCACGTTGTTGCATCGCCGGAATTAAGATCTACGTATCGTAACGCAGTGTAAGCACAGAACGTGTGTTCCTCGATTTCATATTAACACTCACAATGATTATCTTGCCGGATTGTTGGAGCATGAATATGGTGAACGGGTGGATGATGGTGATGGTCACTTCCATCAGGCGCAACACGGCAGCGACGGAGGCTAGAACACCGGTTAATGCCACCAGTAACACGAGCTCGAGCAACACCGTTATCGCCTGAAATATCGGACGCCGTTTTAACAGTGGCAATTGCGAGGGGTGGAAATCTTGGAACGAGCCAACGCCCCCTCAATGTTCTACGCGTTCCAAGACAATACGGATTTATATACACCGTAGTTCAACCGAACAAAATTGATATTAATGACCAACAGGGACAGTGGGTTGCCCCGTGCCCCTAACTGTTGAGGGATTATTAATTATTAGACGTTCTGGTAAAGAGGGACGTGATCGTTAATTATTAGCTCGTAGCTTCGTGAGACACATAGTAAATCAAACGCGCCCTCTGGAATTAAAACTCGCTGGCACAGAAATCTTGGAAGAGTTAAGGAAGAATGTTGCGAATTTGCCAATTCATCTCTATTTCTTTCTTTCCTTTCCTTCTTCTTCTTCTTTTTTCTTTTTATTTTTTTTCGTCTTGTGGCATTCACTCGATAATAACAATAATGTAAATGACCATGTTAAAAATTTTTGAAACCACGAAAATCGAACATCTAGTAACAAGTAAGAGAAGTCCGTTATACTTCACGAACGTAAATTGAATCGATCGACATGCTTCCGTAACCTTCAAACGTTGCCCGAGTCCCCATAACCTTCGTGCAAAAAACTCTCGTCTCGTTGATCGTGCACATTCAGGAAGAAGGATCAGTGTTTGTCTCGTAAACGTGAACAAAAGACAAAGAGAGAGCGATAGAGGGCAAAGAGTCTCACGCAGAGTATCGCCATTTCCAGTGGTGCGTGTTCGGCTGGGGGCGCGAGAAACGAGCGAAACGCCAGTTGCCGTCGATTTCATGGATAAAACGTCGATATCCAATTCATTCCCGCGAGTTCCAGTCCACGGCGAAGCTACATCCTCATAGTCGCTTCCGGTTCCGCTTCACCGGCGTCAACTGCACCGTGACACGAAAAAAAAGAAGAAAAATAGCAACGACGCGTATTCGGAACTGGAATAAAGCTTCCCGTTGCCGGGGGACAGGGACGAAAATTTGTGTCGCCGAGATTTCCATGAACGTAGGAGAGCATAGCGATTGCAGCGTCGCCTGGCGGCGAGAATGAGAAAGAAGAAAAGAAAAAAAAACCGTACGTACGCTTAGAATATTTTAGAAAACTGGTCGGACTTTGGAGATGATAGCGACTTTGGAATTTTTAAATCAGTTCGACCTTGTTATTAATTGCGAGGATGTTTCGAACGATGTGAAGCTAGCGAGTTGTGTCATTCAAGTATTGAACGGTTCGTTAATAATGCAAAAGAGCGTGTGCAGCTGTGCATTATGGATATAATAATCCAACTGCTTAAGACTTAATTAGCGACGTAAAACATAATCAAATATTAATCAAACAATATTGATGCACGTGGTGAAATAATATTCGAAATTTTGTTTGTCTTTCTTCCAAAATACCATGATCTAACGTCTCTACGTATATTTGCTTCAAATATTTTCCCAGTTTACAGAAATTAATCTCTGACTTTGCTAAAACATGAAAACTAAATACCAAATTCACTAGAAGCAATTAACTAGTTGGTAAATTTTTACCAACTAAATTTCAATGAAACTGAGAAACAAAAAAATCGAAATTCTTCTGTGACGAAATTCCGAGATGTCGGAACATTTTTTTCTTTATTCACGTCAGCCGGTGAGGCAAGAGAAATTCCTCGAGGATGTTTCGCTACCATATTCAGGCACTCTTCCGTGTTCTCGAGACAGCCAATCGACGTTTTCAGCCGAAGACAGTATTTGCGCAGCTAGTCGACAACAGTGGTAAGAAAACGTCGACAGGTTGTTATTGGAACCGCGGGAATAAGATATCTTCCAGCGAATAAGGTGAAAGAGAAGAAGACTTTCTCTCGCTCGATATTGTGAATAGTAGGGGTTTAACCTCTCTGGTGGCGGCTCGAACGTGCTCGCACTGTCGATGAAAAATTTTCGAATCGTCAGCGCTTTTTTCGCCCTTTCTCTCTGGTTATATAAAAATCCTCCCTTTGCAATGATTTCAGAGACTGATTCCAACTGTAGCGTCGTTTTGCAATGACGAATTTTCGCATTTTCGTCGAATACTGTCGATGAATTTCCTGTTTTCAATTCGAGTCGAGACGACTCTGTGTGTGTGTGTGTGTGTGTACTCTGTTATCGCAACGATAATTTTCGTTATTAGCAACTGCGCCCGATAAATGCAATTATTAATTAAACCAGCGTCTAATAAACCGTACATCTATTGGGGGCAAACTACGTCCCGAGTACTTCCGGTCGACTACACCTACAATTTCCGGTCTCTTCCTCCATGAACAAATAGAAGCCTGCGGTTTCGCATCGGATCGGATATTAATAATTTCCACCGAACGATTTAGTCAGTCGATCAAGTTGTTTTCGAATTTCGCAGACGTGAAGACATCAAGAGTCTGCTCTAATTAATAAAATTTGAATTATTAATTGCCTGAGAATTATTAGAAATTATAGAAATACACGATGATCATTGGAAGCTCAAGTTTATCCAAAAGTACATCTAGTCCAAGAAGAAGAGTTCTTAAAAGATTTAAAATTTTCCACAATTAGAAGTCAAAGTATATATTTCGAAGTATCCGAGGAGGATAATTCCCAAAATGATATGCAATATTTTATGCGTACGTAAAATTCCCGTTTGAAATTCAATTAAGTGGCAAAAGTCTCGAAACAAATTTCAGTCGCGTCGGGGAAAAGAAAAAAAGAAGGCGAGATCGATGAATTTCACGGATATTCATCAAACAGAGAAAAACAGGCCGCGTGTCCTCGACATCCGGGACAAAAGACTGCGTTCGCAGGGAAATAGTCACGCGATACATCGTAACCTTCGTGGCCCGGATGAACTTTTAAAATTCCACGGTTGTGTACGTCGAAATCCGGGACGGTTCCCTCAAGGATCGAATTATGGGCGTGCAAAATTCCAAGAGGTTAGTGCTTGTATTTCCGCTTCACACGTAATTCTCGTCTAGACGTGTGCACGCAGGAAAAATGGTAAGAGAATGCGGAATAATATTTTCTAAAGTAGAATTTTGACTTGTTAAAGTAGGATCTTTAATGTACGCATGGGATGAACTGTGATATTAGAATGACATTAATGTGAGGAAAAGTATATATAATCTTCGTAGGTTACTCTTTGTTGAAACAAATTTTTTTCAATTTGTTAAAATAAATAGAATTTTAATTTTTAATGCACGCACGGATAACCATTGATTAGTTGATATTAATAAAAAAAATTTTACTGTTTTTTGCAAGAAGAAATCCAATCATATTTGGACAAATTTGGCAGTTTTGATGCGAATAAATACATTTTTAGCAATCACAGAGAATTATACGAACATTATACTAATTAATAATATTAATATAATATTATATTAATAATAATAATAATATTATTATATTATATATTTATCTGGGAACGATATTTCTTTCATTATTTGGCAAGAGTTTCGGTATGTATGGAATTTTAAATAGAACACGTTAATTATTTCATTCCTTCGAAAATTGTACATGAAATTACTGACTATTCATTCTTTGCATTTTCACGGTGGAGCACGGACGAAACTTTTCCACGAAACGTAGTAACGAACAAAATTATTAAATACGACTCGACGAAACGGTACACATTTATTAAACTTGCGAATAAAATGAGGAATATAATGTGCAGGTCAGATAACCTCAAACGAAATTCCATTAGCAAGATAAAATTCCCTAGATTCTAGTGTCAATATATATACGCGCGTACTGAACAAATTCGCAGCGTTGATTTATTCAGAAATGAAACTTTGAAACTTTGAAAACGGACTATCGTTTCATATTTTCGGCACGTCGTTTTATGTAAATTTGCATTATCCCGGTTTCTTAAAAAAAAAAAAAAAGAGGGACCACGATTTAATTTTATACGGTTTGATTATATTACAGATATTAATTTATCGTTCAACAACATCATTTATTTATTATTAGATACGTCGATGTACCTACTGCCAATACATTTATCAGTCATAACTGTGACACAACGTCACATCAACGAATCAGCATATCAATATTGTGTCTATAGAGAGAATAAATCTCTAAGAGATAAATGTACAAACTTTTCATTTATAAATCGTTCATTTGCATACCGATAGGCAAAACCCTAGAAATCTTAGATCCTTTTGTTTCAATATTTTACATAAATATGATGAATCAAGTAATATAAATTATTATAATAATAATAATTTTTTATAAATTTTCATACTTGTAACAGAGATAAAAAAAAAAGTATAAATTTCATTTATCAAAATTGGAATTTTTTCCAATTCTACGTACATATTTAACTTGAAAATGTTCCATCACCTGTGAAATGATCATTGTTAAAAAAAGAAACAATTTACGCACAAAAGTATCAATTAACGTTAAATGGGCGATAATTTCGACATGAAAAATATCTACCAATAGAGCAGACAGATAAAAATTTCCCGCATCATTTAATACACGGATAGCCAGAGGCAAGTGCATTTCATCAAAGCCAAAGCGGAAGCTAAATACATGACATCGATTATCTGGTCAAACTTACGTTTGAAAAACGCGATTCGCGCTAATAATATATCGCCAATAACGTCTGAAAATGTTGAAATTAATGAAAATACATCCTAGTTAATCATTTTTTAATGCAGCACAGGCTGAAAATTTCTGCAAAATTAAATAATTTAATCTGAAATCGAAAATTTCCTCCGGTCAAATGTTCGATCGGAGATTGTAAAAATATATTTTAACTAAAAAAATAGAATAAATTTATATACAGATATTATACTCTGCAATTACTAAAATTCTCTATTTAATTTCATTGCAAACTACAAAATACTATATTTAAAATTCCCGAGTCCTATACTTATAAAAATGCTATATTTAATTTCGACTTCTGAACTTCTCGAACTTGAAAATTCTTCATATTACAGAATGTTGGAGTCGTGCGTTCGGTTAGCATTTAATTTGCAAATTTCCATTAAGAGCCAGTGACTTATCGTTTCATGATTAATATATTTAACCTTGACGTTTTTTTTTTTTTTTCTTTTTTTCTTTTAACACCCTGTACATGGCGTCATTGGCCCCATTAGCGACAACGCCGTTCAGAACAGTTTAACGTTTCCTTGAGTGAGAATCATACTCCATTTCGTTGGACGTTACGTGATAAATTGTCGGGGATTCGCCGACGTGAAACGACGACGCTCGATTTTTCGCCGCGTAAGTGATTCCAAATATTCGTCGAGTTTGGTAAATGGATCTGGCTCTGAGCTGTCACTCCGGCGAATTAGAATTATTACGATTCCACCGTCGAAGAGAAATCGATTTTGCGGCTCGATTTAAGACGAGTTTTGACGTAAGTCACTCGAGCACAAAAGAGCGCTGTATTACGTTATTTGCAGAGTGGCCAGATGGATAAATGGGCTTGAGAAAGTTGAATTGCGGAGTTGTCACATACCAAGAATATTGAAACTTAAGAAAATTGAGAATTGGGGGGGGAATAATACTCTGAATTTTTAATTTCTCGAATCGATCTTTACGACGATCAGAACAAAGAGAAAATATATGTGAACAATTTCGTGGAAATTTTCAAGATAACAAGAGTAACGTGTAGAATTCTAAAATTCTACTAAATTGACTGTTCGTGTCACAATTCTGGCGGGATAGGCAGCCATCTTACTCGAAGTTTCTCGATAAGGAAAAATAATAGATCCAGCCAGAAAAAAATGGAAAAGACGTATTTCTTGGTTATTCTCGCTATGTGTCTTCTAAATCTTCATCAACTGATTCAGGTTAGTTTGCGTTCAACGTGCGAGCAACACTGAACCGGGTCAGTTGAACTTAAACGAAATCAACTATTGGCCAAGTTATTTAAATTGACTGATTGCCCTCGTTTAAAATTAGCCGCTTGAAAGTAGAAGTCAGAGTTAGACGTATGTTCTTTCGAATTTTATTCACAGTTTTCACAATTTTCGTGCATTTTATCACATCGTTTCATCTTCCTCGCTGTACTGACTCCAGGCCTGGCAATCTCTTCCCCCTCGGTCCATAGATCATAACTGCGAAAACGACTTGGAATTAATCACCTCTCCCTCCAATTTAATGATTAATTAACGCAACGAGGGTATACAAAGAATATTAATAAATCCAGATACTTACATGATGATGATGATGATGCGCGTGATGATTCAACAAAGGAGCCGCTTGCGAGTTCCTTCTCTTGTATTCCAGAATACTCGCGGCAGGCTCCATTAGAACAACCGAGCTCAGGGCAGGTATCCGCTGCTTGGTGCAACTGCATTGCATCACACTCTGTTGACACTGATTACACTGAGGCACCTTGACGTAGGCCACTGGCTCAGGCTCAGCCACCACCATGACAGGCTTAGGGAACAGAGGTTCCTCCTTGGGGAGCACAATCTTCTCCGGCTTAGGATCATTCTTCACGATCTTCTCCTTGATGACAGTTTCGACGACCGGTTTCGCCGCCTCCCTCGGTGGTTGGATGATGTTGACGTTCGTTTGAGACGGCAGATAAACTTGGGGCGGCTGAATCACTTTCACAGTGGGTTGAACAGGTGGTTGGATCAACTTCATACACGCCTGAGAAGGTTGGATCACGCTCATCTGAATTTGCTGGGGGACCTGCTGGATGCTGACGGCTTGGACTTGTTGTTGTTGCTGTTGTGGAACAGCCTGGAAGTTATACGTCTGAAGTCTCTGAGCCACCGGTTGGATGTTCAACGTTTGAACGGGCTGTGAGACAGTTTGGATGCCGCCTGACTGCACTTGAGGCACCAGGCTACCGGATTCCAGACATATGGTCGATTTCTTCGGTCTGACTTGGTCCTCTCCTTCTGTCTCGTCGACCTTCGGCTCTTCTTGGCCCTCGTTCAGGGATACCTCGTCCGTGAGTTTCGTTGGAACCGCCTGAGTCAGAGCTAGACCCACGAGAAGCAGAAAGAAACCGAGTTCGTTGGTGTTCATTTCTTAGGTTGGATCGTTCCTCGATGTTCAACTGTGAGGAAGTCGCCGACGAGTTGCGTTTTTATAGGAATTTCGGAGCGTTGTGACTTGTTTAGGGAAACACACGCGTACAGAATGGTGCCGAGTAAGCGGAATTTGCAGTTATTGAGTCACTTTGTTGACACCGTGGTGAATTTATCGATTTGTCAGCATGTCACGACCAGTGAAACAGTTCCGGCTAATCAGTAAGTTGTATTAGGTGCATTATCTGCGTTATTGGGTTATTTTAACATTCATCCTGGATGATGGATAGCACGTGTGGTAGTTCCATGAAATTTTATTCGATAATATTATAGTACATTTCTTCTTCGTGTACGTTAAAAATATACTCGTTTCAACATCGACTGAATATTGTATTACAGATCTTTAAATTAAAAGACAGGTTTACAAATCGGTTGACTATCACCATTATCAATTACTAGAAAGTTACAGGAACCAAAAGAGTCGTTTGCAAATTGAAAATTTTGCAACGTCCTTTTCGATATGTTGACACGAGCATTTGCTTCTTTAATGTTCATAACAATATTTATTTATTGATATTCACGTTACTTAATATTCCTCAGTCGTCGTTGTTAAATCGTGCATTTTGAATGCAGCGCGATAACATCGGAAGTAGAGGACGCAAGAACAGGGCGACACAGTCGTATTAATCATGTGGCAATAGACTCGTTTTCGTTGCCGTCAGCGTTACCTCGGCTATTGTTATTATTGTTATAATGTTTACAAAGTAACAATGCCGCCTGCGTGCACATTATTCCGCTGATGCTCGTTTTATAATTATTAAGCGGGTAATGGAACATTGCGCCAAGTTCGTGTCGTGTAATTGAAATAAATCAGTGAAAAGACAGCCCGTCGAGGAAATTTTATCAATTTTATTCATTTTATTCGTCGTGCCATCCAACGTTGTAAACTCGAGGCATTTGAACAAACGCTTATCTCCGAGGCGTCACATCCTTATTCGCGATTACTTGTCAATTCTTACATTTATTGGCGATACTTCTTCATTAATGTCAGTATTTATTACCAGTACCACATATTTATAAACGATCGCATTCCTTTTTTTTTTTTTTTTCTCCAGAATAGTTTTCCAAGTAATAGTTATACTTGTCACGCCGTGAAATTTCAAATTTTCGATCGCCCAGGAAATTGCCCGGAAGGAATATTGTATCAATATTCTCCCGAGTCGCGGCTATTAGATGAGAAAAATTCCCGGACCCAACTTCGAAAGAAACCATTCTACCAGGTTTACTTTCCTCGGTGCGCCAATTCCTCTCTCTCTCTCTGAGAGAGAGAGAAAGAGAGAGAGAAAAAAGTGGGGTGAGGATTCATCCCACCGGCCATTTTCTTCCAATTTCTGAAGTTGAATCGGGGAGTCGAGGTTAGATCGAACCTTAACCTGCTTTATAATTCTCCTCAGAGAATCCCTCTTTTTCCTCGGCAATGATCGAATTGTTTCTCCTCCAGCGGATCGAAGGGAAGTACATTTTAATCTCGAGACAGCGCACCCCCTCCCTCCCCCACCCCCAAACCCTTTCCTCCTTTTACCAAGAATCGCTGCAGTTTCTCCTTCCCTTTGATTAGAACACGCCTTTATAAAGGCAGCAGCTTCTGCTGAAAATTATATGGCAGCGTCCATACGATAACGAGGTCGTAAAAATCGAAAAACTGGCAAAAGCGGTATTTTTCTTCCCCCTCTTTTTGCCCTCTTTCGTTTTACATTGTTACATTTGTTGCATTCATTAACTGCCGTTTTATTACTCCTTGGTGTCTTTGTGATTTCGCTCTGGAATTTCCTTTTTCAGTGTTTCTTTCTTTTCTTTTTTTTTTTTCTGATCAACGAAATCAGTCCCTCTTCTTTTGTTTCTTCTTTTTTATTAAAATTCTCTTTATTAATTAAATTTGTCTGGATTAATTGAAATTCATTCTTTCATTATTAATTATTAATCTCGCTGTAAAACCACTGTACTTACAATTTTTTTTTTTTAAATGACTTTTCAGTACATATAATTGAGGTTTCTTCGCTGCATCATTCTGACTACGTACTTGAGATTAGAGTTGCAGAAACTGTGTTATTCTAATACTAGTTACTGTCTTCATCGTGAAACGTACTTCAATTACATTATTTTAATCTTTGGGTCAACACTTTTGGGGAAACACTGCACATTATGATTTTAATAAAACCAGCTGTTCTATTTAATATGAAAATATAAATATTCCCTTACGTACCAAGTATTTTAACGATCGAGTTCCCCACGTCAAATATTTATACATATCGGGGCTTTTTCACGCGAAACGTATACATCGAAAGCTTATAAATATGAATATCTCGGTGGATTTTTATTCCCGACGAATTCCGGGATGTGGTAGACAAAAAAACGATAAAGACATTCGACAATTTTATTCTACAAAACGCATCAACAATTCACAGTTCTAACCCGTATCAATTATCACTTCCATCGGTACGCCACATTAAGGTAAACAAAATAATTATTATTGCCAGAGGCAAAAAACACATTCTAGGAAAATTTATTTTTCCAGAACGAAAAAAAAAAAAAGAAAACAGGCAGTAAATGTTAATTACAGTAGCGACAATTGTGTCTGTTGTGAAAGAATTTACTACGATGCAAATTACACGTAGAGGGGGGAAAAATACGCAGTATGTTGTCAAGTGTTACGTAGTATTAATGACTAAAATATTTTTTTACAATAGAAATATCTCGTACAAAAGAAAAAAAAGTTCTACAGTTTCTAACTTTTCTAACTTTGCATGTTCGATCGTTTAAAATTACTCATCGTTTCGTTCGTAATTCACTGTCTTCGAAGTAACAAATAAGTTTTCATCGAAGCGCAAAATTTTCGAAAAAAATTCACCCTCGAAAACAAAATTCTATCGGGATGGCAATGTCTTTCCAATAAAATTTCATTCCAACTCTGAGTTAAGGTTCTTTTCATTCCAGTCTTCCAGTTATCGCCCGATTTCGACTGGCAAGGTGTCAAACGCCGCTCATAGTCTTCGTCGTGCTCTCCTCGCCTTCGATCTTCTCCGATCTTTCCATTAATCTACTGTTGGAAGAAGAATCTTCACCCAGGGAACGGTTTCCAGAGAATCCACTCTTGTCCCCAGAACTATTATCCTTGCCAACGTCTCCCTTCCTCTTAATCTCTCGCTGCTGCGTCACATCGCGAGACTTCAATTCCTCATTATTCTGATAATCATGCATCTCGCCCCCGTACATCTCACTTCCCATTCGCTCGCTAGTTTCCTCCATCCCCTGATAAGATCCCTGATCTTTCTTCTGCTCGTCCGACTGTTTCTCCCATCTACTACTATTATCAACTTCAACCTCCTGCGTCATTCCGAACACGTTCAACTCCTCTGGCAGATTGTACGAATTGTGCTTCACTTCTGGAACGTAGACTGGCCTGTTGGTGCCTTCCAACGTCTCGCTCCTTTGAGACTGGACAAATTGAGGTCGTGTCACTTCTCTCTCGTAGGAGACTCCAGGGTTTTCCGCCACCGAGTACTCGTTGGATTGAGTTCTTAAATATTGGCTGGCCTCGGCCTTGGAGAATTGATTGGATTGAACCTTGGAAAATTGGCTGGGCTCAACGACTTTGGGCAATTGGCCAGGTTCAAACTTGAAAGATTGACTAGGTTGAACGTGGGGGAATTGGTTGGGTTCGGTTCTAGAAAACTGTTTGGGCTCAGCTCTGAAAAACTGGCCAGGTTCGATTCTGGCGAATTGGCTAGGTTGAACTTTGGTGTATTGCCTGGGTTCGGCTCTGAAGAACTGGCTAGACCCAGCTTTGGAAAATTGGTTCAACTCGGTTCCGGGATATTGGTCAGATTCGCTCATCGGATTGCTTCGCTCAAAGGAGTCACTCAAATACCTATCAGACCTAGGATTCACTCCGAAATTCTTCAAATCTTCTCTATGAACGCTCGGCCCTCTTAAATTATTAAACGAGAGCTCGTTATCGAAGTTAGACCTGAAACTCCTTGAATTTCCTTCGTTGCCGATCAAGGGATTCAAAGATCTCCTGAAAGTACCAAATGGTGACAGTTCGTTGGGTGAATCGTGACCCACCAAGTCGTCAAAATAATCGTCCGACCTGGTGCCTATAGTGAACTGCTTCCTCGCCCCAAAGTTCCTCAAATTTTCTCCATTATTAACTAGTATACTCGACTGTCTTCTATCACCGAAAGACGGCTCCCTATTGACCAAACCATAATCCGCGTACAATTGGTTGTAAGGTATCAAGCCAGATTGGCTCACAGTGAACACTTTCCTCGGTCCGAAACTCCTCGTCTCGTCTTCGTTGTTAAACAACACGCTTGACTGTCTTCTTAAATTGCCAAAAGAGGGCTGGTTCGACGGTGTTAAGTCAGATTGGCTCTTGGCGAGATCGTAGAAATTAGCCCTTCTGTACGGCGTTCTACTTGGCGTTCTGGAAACGGGAAAGTGAGAGTGGTACGGTGATATTGGGTTATTTATATCGTGAATAGAGGCGGTTTGCGAAGGAGCCACGTGAGAATCGAGGTCTCGCCCGATTGTAAAGGGATCCTCGCGTTTGCCGGTGGCTGTTGGTTTCGTGACAGGTGGGGCCCCTCTGCTTCTGATGGCTCTGTCGTACGAAGGGCTGTATGCATTGTTGAACGGAGAGTCGTTGGGTGACTGGAAGGTTGGGTTAGACCTGAATAGTTCACTAGCCTGGCGAGAACTGGTTTCTGGCTCGTGTCCATAGTATCCTCCTCTTGCGGCTGGCGCACTCCTAAAAATTTATTCTTGCTTTTGAACTAGTCCGGAGTAACGACAGTGAGTTGTCACGCGGTTTCGTTGTTCAGTTAGAAGTGCAAAATGCCAGAGGTAACCGTCGCTAACTGGTCTCTGGGCTATTTTTCACAATAATTTGAAAAATTTCTTATCCAAGTTGATGAAGGTTCCTATCCTTATAATATTATCAGATTTATGACACGTAATTCTTCGAGGGAATTTCATGGAATTTGAAGTCCCAAGGGAAAGAAGCGCGAAGAATTCGAATTCTTACCACGAGACCAGTGTGTCTGGCCGTTCCCGGCGACACGAGGGACAGGAAGCATGCCTAGGGTTTCTTGTTTCCTCGTCTTCGTCCCACGGCGATCCAGCGATCGCGTTCACGAACAGGGAGAGTAGAATAAATCCTCTGGCAGATCGTTCGAACATGCTTATATGGTTATTAAATGCCGCGGCTCCTTCGGACAGCTTTTATAAGCTACAGATTCGACGAGGACGTTACACTTCCTGCTCGTTGCGTCAGAGTCCTCGCGTTTCCGTTACGTAGCACGGAAATGAAAACGCTTCGGCGATTCACTGGTTGAGGTCGAGTCAACCTCGATCCTCTTTTTCATGGCCGAGGCGAGTGTTACGATGGTGCAATATACTTTGTATGAAAACGATGATGATTCAAAGAACGGAAGTTCTCGACCGCTTGTTTATTAAAAATATCACACGTTTGATTTATTTAGTATTAACAGAGGAAAAATATTGTTTCAATATTGTTTCCATTCACACACATTGCGCGCGCATAATTATTTCACAAATTTCACAATTTTCGAAGAAAAAACAAAGATTTCGTTGTGGGTTTCACGAAGCCGTAAATTTGCATAAATTCGCGAATGAAAGTGAAACAAAAATTCACGCTGTTGCGTGTTGGTCGCCGTCAGAATGAGAATAATAATAATAAACAATCCGATGTTTGCCAGTCCTTGACAAAAGTGACGGGAATGAAATACGAGGCCGCCTCTGTTTCTCGTTTCACGAATACTTGTTCCGAAGTGGCGTCATGCGACCCGTACAATTACACTAATTGCCGTTCTCTGTTGCCCAATTACGTTTACAATCTGTAAACGTAACAACTATCTCACTGTCCCTCCCAATTTTTAATTCGAGGCGGCTTACACTTCTTTGCCGATCAAACGGTTTAAAAATGAAAGAGGATATAGATATTAAAAAAAAAATAATTTAGAAGAATAGATTTGCGATAGCTGTCGGCGATAACCGAAATGGGGATTTTATTTCTTCCGGATCATGGAATAACATAAGGGTATTGGTATTGAAATTCAGCCTCGAATTTTGCTCCAAGTAATGTTGATTACTATAGTATTAATATCTAAGTTAAATATTAATATCTGAAGCGTAGCGATGTTGGATCGCATTAAGTATAAAACGATGAAAGTATGCTCATCCACCGAATGTTTCTTCGCAGACAAGACACAGACGACGACATAATATCGAAGAAATCGCTACAATCGGTCAAGCAGATTATCAACTTTCTGAAAGAACGTAAGACATACGCCAAACAAATAATAATAAAAATGTTCCCTAAAAAATAAATTCCTAAATTAATTTTCACGTCGTGCGTTTTGAATATATTAGAAAGTAAAAAATAATTACGAGCACCAGCAGTAACTCACTGCCGCGTGGCTGTTCTCATTGAAAATTGAACTCAGAGAAGTATTTTTTTGGTTTGAAGACGCCAGGGAGGAGGGCCTGTTCCGGCGTGCAGGCCGCCGCGATCTCAGAAGACGAATTTTAAATTCGCTGAAGAAAGGGGAGAAACCTCATTTAGGGAACAATGACGCGGCTCTGGAGTGCGCAGCCGCGTTGCAGCTGTTCCTGAGCCATTTGAAGAAACCCGTGATGCCACGCCACGTCCAGCAACTTCTTCTTGGTAACTAGAAACTTCCTAGGTCTCATTTAAAGTTCATTGTTGCGAAGTGAATTAACGAATCGAGAGATGCTGGGCAATGTTAAGCAGGATTGTTTGGTAATAGTGAATAGAATCACTCGTTGCTTTCGACAGAGCGTAGTGAAATTGAAAATTTTAAGTTCTGGCGTAGTTTTCAAAACTGGCATCGACTTCTACAGTGGAAATTACATTTCATTTTCAAACTCTTCCCTTTTGCACTTGAATTTTCTATATTTCGTTGCATTTTTTTTTTTTTCAAATTGCACGCTACTTTTTTTAATTAAAAGTGAGCTTGGCTTTTAATTAACTGTTATAGCCTCCGTTTAGGCGTCACAAAAAGGGAGATTAACCGGGGAATCTCATTAAGGGAGATCTCGAAATCTCAAGTGGGAGTGTTTTTTGGAACGCAAAAATAAGTGTGTCCCATATTTAAAAAGATACTTTTATTAAATCCATTGATAAACAATTTTTTTAAAAAATATAAAATATAATATATAATATATAAAATATATAGAAGTCGAAAGAAAACTGTGAAATCTAGTCATTTTCAAATCCGGTAAAAATTAAAATCCGCAGAAAGAGAACAATGTCAAATATCTTTTAAGAAATAAAGTGAGATGCATAAATCATAAAAGTCCAAAGAAAAATCTAATTGTCCTTTTATTCTATGAAAAAATCCCTTTTAAAAAAGAAATAGGTAGGACAATTTATAGATTAAATCATTTCCATGTGAAATTAATTTTGCCTAACCGAGGCCATGCAACTAGAGCGATTCCCGAATTGTTATGTTATTACATTAGATATACAACGTAACAAATCTTCGCCAACGCAGCACATCTGTCTGCGGCGAAACAAATACGCGTTGTCAATAAAATTAACGAGTTCAGCCACAACGGCGTTAAATAATAATTCTTCGCGTTACCTAACCACAAATATTTGCAAACAATGTCGACTCATGTTCCCGTGTTTTCGAACGCTCGTGGTTTCGACATGATATTCCATGCTGTAACAGATCACGTGATACGTGCTGGTAATTAAAACCGGCTGACGCTCGTTAAAGAAGCAAATAAGAAATTGCCAAACCATTCTTTCCCTTTTCCATAGAACGTTACGTTACAAAAATAAAACTTGAAATATCAAACATACAACATAGAGACATTGACGAGTAAATTTATGTCAGTAATATTTCTTTTTTAAGGGATTTCATTCCTTCGAATTGAAGGCCAGAATTATTTAAGAGCGTTATAATAATTAGATTTAAAGAAAATTTCTTCGCAAAGGACAGTTTTCTCGCGATTCACACGAGATGGGTGATAAAGTGAAACAAAAGAAAATGGAGAGCCGAGGAATTAAATGATAAATTTTCGCGATATCAGCTGATAATCCTGGAGTGACCGCTCACATGATCGCCAAGGATGCATTAGGATTGATACGACAGGATGTCGGTGGTCGTCACGGGGAGCTTCTTGCCGGTCTTCTTGATTTACTGAGACACCTGACCCTCTCTGGCCCTCCATCCGAAAGATCAGAGTTACGTGGCTCGCCGCTTCCGATTGCACTGCTCCCAGTCTTTTTCACTTTGACGGTAAATGTACGACATACATATACATACATATATATATATATATATATATATATATATATATATATATATATAGCGTATTCTTAAGGCTGCTAGCCTTTGATCCTGGACGTGTTTGACACTGGCTACCACGGCCAAAACCAGTCAAACAGTGTCAAATTGCCTTTGTACGTGCTATAGGATCTGATTTCTCTTTCTATACATGTACTCGTATTATTCTTCCCTGTGCCATATTGTGCACATCGCTCTCCTAAGCTCTCAAGTAGCTTAAAAGAAGATATACGACTCTAAGTTAGGTGAACGTACTCGCGAGTCGGTTGTACTATTGAATTGGAATTTTATTGCGAGTTATTATTGTTTTCAGTGTAACAATTAATAATTATTCAGATGGTTGTTTTATAATAATTATCAAGAATATTTATTACGTTATAGAATGACCAAACGAATAATAAAACTTGAACTAATGAACGATTTAAAAAATATTATACAAATATATTAAATAATATATATTAAAAATATATAATTTATATTATATATTTAAATATTTAAATTTATAATACAATTATTTTTATATATTAGTTTTAAATATGTTATATTTTTATAAATTTCAATTGTTTGTTCTTGTCTATTTTAAAAAGTATAAGTTGATTGATTGTCCCTTGCCTATTGTGCACAGATAGAGTAGTTAATGCTCAAGTGGCGCTAGTGTCGCATTATTGGTCTTTATAGCGCTACGTAGACCAACAAAATATTCACGTATAATAAATAAATCTTTCATCAATTATTGTGGAAATTGACTGTGTTCGATTTCTATTAAATTACTACGAAATTAATAATTCTCTTATCACAAAGCAACAAAGAAAAATCCGTTCCATTCTCGATTTGTTCATTCATAAATGGATAGTAAATACAATAAATATCATATTGCGGAAACGAAAGCACCCGAAGCGAGTATAAATTATTACAAAACCAAATCGCTGTTATTAATAAGTTAGCAACGGCTTCATTCATAATTCAATAGGAGCCTACAATTCGCGCAATTCAATTCATTTTGTAATCCTCTCTTGCTCGCGAGCGTTTTTAACGCGAGGAGCTGTATTAATTCTTGAGATCCACTTGAGCGGAGCGGAATCGTCGATTGATGGAAAGGGGGCGGGGGACCAGAAACAGCCAGGGGAAACGAATTCGCGATGCAAATCGACGAGAATTTTAACACCAGCTGATCGATCGTTCTGCCGTTACAGCCGGCCGATCTGGTGAAATGGAAGCAAGTGGCCACCAGATTCAACGAATTAATTACCGAAGCCCCCGAGCAACTGCAGCTGAATGAAAATCGATCGTGCGAAATGGAATCCAGCCGGCTGCCCGTGGGAAGCGCCGGCAACGTAAGGAATAGAAACTTTCTCGCCGCTTAAAAACGATCAACCAGCAGCGATGCTTCGAAAGTAATCTCCGGCGTGGTGATTCTCTTTCCATTCAACGGCAGAATTTATTCTTGAGTCAGGAGAAATCAAATGGATATATATATATATATATATATACGCGGTGTAAAGTAGGTGGAAAATTCTCGCGAGGAGATCGGCTTTCCTTTCGTTTCCTCCTCGGAAGGGGGAAGGGGAGATTTCGCGATCGCGAACGATGAAACACAGTGAAACTGAATTGGAAAGATGATGATATTAAGAATAATTTAAACGTAATGCCGCGGGGAACATGAATCCGAGACTGAGATCCAGCAACGGGTCTCGACGAGATATAATCTGACAATGGAAATGAACTCGGGCCCTAACCTGATCTAAGTTTGGATGAAAAATTTAATTTAAAATTGAAGTTAAATCGAAGAAACACGCGTGTCCCGACTTAAATGGGATATCAATTCGAGACTTCTGATTTGATTCTGATTCTGAATCAGATCCAATCCGAATCGAATTTAAATTCGAAGTGGATCCATTTGATACCTGAACTCAATTTAAATCAAATCTGACTTGTTTTACGGGTTTTGTGTTTCGCGCGGTAGGGATTGTTAGGTATACGAAACTAACCTAAATTTATCTTAAAATCTGTACACCCAACATCACTATAGTGCACCTATGTCTACACATTTAATTACGCTATATCTATAATGGAGTGCTCCTTGTAATCTAAAGACGACTGTAATAAAACTGATAAGAGGAAAAGATTATTCCGACGAAGATTCTTTTCTCAATGAATCTTCTGCGTGGGGAAACTGCGCCGCACGATTTTAATAACAAATTCACACAAATGTCTTTTTTTCGTTTCAGGTTAGGTTGGAGAGATAACTGGAATTCTTGCTGTGCCGTTATACGGCCCGCCGGCGAGTAGACTTCATCCGGCAATTACCAATTCGAATCGAAAGCACCCGGTATTAAACGGCATTAACACAAATGTAATTCTTTCGCATGAATGTAAAAGGGCCGTGTAAATTATTTGTACTTGCTCGCGCGGCGACAATCCGCAGAGGGTCGATATTTTTCATCTTTCCACGCTTTTTATTGTTAGAAAACCTTCTTCTTCCCTATTGGAAAAAGGACGACTTCCTCCTCTTGGTTTTTCTCTTCCTCCTTCACTTTTTATTTATTCACCAGCGAAAGAAACTGGTCCACGTGTAAAGTAAAGGAAAAAATTGAAATATATATACACACACACACATACACGCGTGTATGCACGTTTGCTTCGAAAACTGTAACGATTTTAGAGGAGTCTTGTGTATTTAGACTAGAGATTGTTAATTTGTATTTGTTCGTTTCGAAATATACGGATATATATATATATATATATATGTTTTATACGCACGTACAGCAGAAGCTCATTTATTTACAAAACATTTGGGAGTTAATTCTTACTTCCAACTTTCACGCGCCAAGCCTATGAAATATACTTTTTATCGAACTTCCATGAGAATGAGCAAAGCGAGTCTCGTTTCAATGGTAACTCTCGCGCGACGTGATCGAAATGATTGTTAACTGTGTTCCACATACGGTGTACGACAAAATTCCCAGGATTCTAGTGTGCGACTTTGTCAGTCGGAATCATTAAGGCGCTCGAATAATGGTACCTAACCTGAACTCGGCTAGAACGATTTCACGAGGCAGTTGACGCGCCTCGTACACGCCAGAAGCCCATTGTCTCACCTCCCCCGCTATCCTCCTATTGCCTCTCGATATTCCATTACGACGTTCGACAAAGCGTCACGCGAGCTAAACTGAGAAAATGGCCGTCGGAAGCAGGCCATTTACAGACAACCATACGAGCGTCCTAGAAAGTCCTACGTGCAAGCGTTTGAAAGAGAGCGATACGCTCCCTGTGGCGCACCACATGCGCTGGTTAAACTGATTGCGGACCTTAACGAACGACCGCGCCCGTATGCAATAATAATTCGTCGCTTTCTTTTTCGAATTCGTCCATTACCAAGAAGTAATAAACTTATATTACGTCGTTCCAGCGCAAGGGGTTAATACTTCTCGTATTAATGAACGATGCTGCGGATCAGAAATTGGGATCTCGAGCAAAGAACCTAGGTAGCGACGGTATTTGACGCAACGGTGAACAATGATCATGTCGAATGAATGGTGTACATATCCTGATGGCAGGGAGAGCATGCAGAAAGACAACGTTCCACGCGTGCTATCGAAGAATCGTGCCTCGATGTCGATTTAGATTACGAGGTGAATTCGTTCTGTATTGGACTGTGTTGGATTTCAGGATACCACCAACGTATTATTCCACAAATGCGTGCATAATAATGTAGTGTGCAGAGTTTCGTTAATAATCGTGAAGGGGGCGATTCTAAATAAATACCGGCCGAAAAGCTCGATTTTCAGGGAGAACTGCGAGCTTTTGAAATTTTCAAATTTCCCTCAAATATCTTTCCATCGTTATGTGTTTGCTTACAACGTCGTGATAAATATGTTATCCAGTTCTTAGGGTCGGTTAGCAAAAAGTATCGTTAAATTTTCATTGGCGTCACTTCATCGGTTTGTTAAATGAGGCCGCGAGGATCCCTCGTTCCCAGATATAATCACTCATTCGCCTCCTCTTCAAAACGTCTTTCACGTCCGATAAACGAGCAGCGAAATCATTCTGCTCCGTGAAATATTTCATGGAATCGATAACGAGCTTAACTTTCATTGACAATTAAGAGAGAAAAAGAGGAATAAAATATTCCAATCGGATTTTTAATCGTCCGATTATTCGATGGAACCAAGAGAGAGAAAAGAACGAGAATCTATAGCCACGTTCAATTGGGAAATTCATCGGACGTTAACTGCTTTGCGAAAAATTAATTCAATTAATCGACTTTTCAAGGGTTCCTTTCCCCTCCCCCCCCCCTTCTTCCACGGGATGATTAATTTGCAATGAAAGAATGAATTAGGACACGATGAAAGGAGCCGCGATGAGATTCCTGCTTTATACGTTCGTGGATTGAATTACATATCACAAGTTTTTACTGTGAATACACGGAGGGTGGAAGGGGAGTACTGACAACAAAGAGAAACCTCTTTATAAAGGGTCATTGTTGATGTTCGTTTGATGTAGAAGGTAAGAGAAACTGCGATGCGAAAGATCAAAATTGAGTTATACAACAAATAATATCAAGCAGAGGAGATTCGCAAATTGATGTCTCGAGAATTGTCTATTAAATGTAACAGTGGATTATATTTTTGTAATATTTTTGCGAATATAAATAAAATGACACCTCCTATGATCTCATTGCATGTATTTAATTTACAATGTTCGAAATAAATTTTAAAAGTCGTTATTATTATTCGTAAAGGTATATTGATCGTTAAATTTGTTGATAAAATATATTTTGTAGTTAATTTAAAGAAATTTTCGTTTTTATCTACACGTATGTTGATAAAGTAGGAAATATATGTAATGTTTATCGAACGGTGGTAATGTTTTTTCTTCAGTCGGTAACACTGCATCTGCGCATATCTACACATTCCCCGTTATCATTTTTGCGTTACATCCTGTCGTACCGATTCAAACAGATTTTGCACTTATTTTTTCTTTAAATATGTAAAGCAGTTGGAATATACGTATATCTCGTATAATTAAGATTATAGGTAAACGTTTGGTGAGATATGAGCTAGTAGCATGAGTCAACGTATTGGGCATGAGCAAGTAACATAAGTCACCGTATAGTCAGGCATAAGCAAGTAGTACAGATAAACGTATGATCAGGCATGAACAAGTAGTATGGAGTACATTTATAAACGTATGATCAATTATAGGCAAGTAGTATAGGTAAATATATACGCGTGTATACATCTGTATTTATACATGCACAAAATTTAATTCGACTCACCACTCTGGTCCTACGCCAATAGTTCCCACTTCATTAATTAACAGCTACTTTACTCTTCTTAATTATTCCCTGGCTCACTTTATTTAGATCGCTCCAGTGATTGTGTTAAACCTACAACAGAGAAATTTATAAAAATGTAAAAAATAAATTCGATATACGAAGTAGGCATAACATTCCCTTCGTGCAAAATGACGATCATTGAAAGAAGAAATTATCGATACTTTCAACTAAACTGTGCAATTTTACAGATCAATATACCTTTAAATCACTGGTTGAGAAAGATTTACGGCAGTAGAAGTCATTTTTCTACACAATTTTCACAATTAAAACGCGGATTCAACGGATTCGCGGCGGTTAAAAACGGAAGATACTAACGCCCTCTGCTTTCCACTTTTCAAATAAAATTTAAATTCAAATGTACATCGAAACATTATCACCACGTAGCGGTGAAAATGTAGAACTAATTGTTATTGCTGTCTTTGTCGCACACTGATGTTCTCTTTGTCTATCATACTACATGTATATATATATATATATTTGTCTTTCTTTCGCGCCATTGCGTTCCTTATTTATGCTCGAATTCTTTCGTTTTCAAACAGATGGCAACACACAGCTTATTTATGATGATTTCCTGCTTTATTTAAATAAATTTTACAGAGCAATATAACATTATTTTCATTACTCGCGATTAAGTTTAATTAAATTATTCGTGATAAGTTAAATAATTAGTTTGATTACAACTACAAAGCTGTTATTTCGATCAATGGCATTGTAATACCAATTATTGTGGAATACAGTTCTATAATTTATGATTGCAAGGTATCCTAACCTATACTTTATTTACAGTAATTCTCTAGTAAGATCATTTAGTTCGAACCATTCTTTATTATTCAAATTTCGAACGTATATAATTCCTCAGATTTGAAGAGGGCGCTGTCAATAAATGTCAACTACCTCTGTGGTACAAAAAGGAGCGGTCGTCTAACGTTGAAGTGGTGTGTTAAAAGTAGTATCTCGGTTCACAATGTCGAAAAATGCATTTTATTTCTTCATGCTCGACTGGGCGAAAGAGCAAGAACGTCGTGGTTTATCTGCCCCAAAAAACTTCAAAGAACTCTCGGCGGCTTGCAGCGATGACTGGAAGGTAATATACACACATACATTCTATATGTCCGATGCGTTCATGTTCAACAAATCGATAATTCAAATGGACATACTCTGTTCTTTGAATAAAAAATAATCGAATTTAATATGTATTTTCTAATTCAAAAATGTATTCCGTTATTTCAAGCACTTGCATAGTACAATTACATAACTACGTGGAAGATGATATTCGAGATATATGTAAATATTTACATACTAATAAAAAAAATAAGGTCATATATACCCGGGCCTATTTAGTTCTAACGTACATTTTTATGTTTCTCCCATAACTCCCTAATCAAAAGAGAAAACGATAACTTCTGGACTCCTTGAGAAACGATAATTTTGTTTAACACATATAAACAATAAACAATATGCATCTAGGATGGATGCGAAGGAACCCAGGCAGAACCCAGGCACCACAGCATGATAGAATAACAAAGAAATTGACCAAACTATTTTTTTTTTTTTTTGTTTTTCGTGGCACTATATAAGAAGTAATATTCAGAGGAATATATTAAATGCATGATTTTCAATAATTTGTGGGTAATTTTATATTATCACAGAATCTTTCATCACAAAAAAAGGGAATTTATAAAGCTAGAGCAAAACAATATAAGATTAAGTCACAGAGCAATGCGAGTACAGACAAGAAAACTACAACTGGAGAGAGCTTGGCCTTACTAGAGTTACAAGAAAAGAAAGAACAGGAATTTCATCAAAATATGCTTAGGTACATAGAATCTGTTGTCTCCTTAGGTGTACTACATAACAGTAAGTATTCTATATTGAATCTTATGAACTTTTCTTGTTTGAAATATCGATCAATTGTTTAACACTTAATATTATCGTTTATTACAGACTTGCCAAAGTTGAAATTCATATTCATACATACAAATTGGTTTTGCAAAAAAAATATAGGAATCAATAAATATGAGTTTTTCCCTGCAGAATTTGCAGTTGCAGAATTTAGTATAGAAAATGGCATTGAAGATATATACCACGAATTGTTAAAACCAAAAATACCTTTAGGCTGGAGAAGAGATGCAATAGAAATTAGCCAGCAAACACATCAGATTCCTATTAATTTAGAAGATGGAGAAAATGATTTTTCACTTATGTACGATAAGTTCACCAAATTTTTGGATGCTAGGAAGACTGGAAATAAATATCCCCCATTATTTACTTTGAAAGACTTGTACCCTGCTGTAGAATCATTACTAATGAAAATGATTGATGATGACAGTAAATATAAAGATTTAATTAATAACTTAGAGATAAAAGAATTGAAAAAGTATTATTCTAATTTGTAATTGTATTTTAGGAGGATGTTTGGAGGACTATTTAATCTATTCGATAGAAGCGCTATTTACAGAATTGAGGAATACTGCTATAAAGAATGTGAGCTCCCATGATCTTCCTCTTGTAATTGGAGAGTATCGATTTTCCAAAGATTACTTTTCCGATAGACGTGGCTACGAGTGTGATGTATGTATACAAAAAGTATTCCCAATCATTTAGAGTATATAGCATCTTTAATAACAATTTGTCTGGTTTCCATTTAGTTCCATAAAATTATAGATGTTACTCAATATTGTAGTAAATCGATAGTAACACGATGGGGTTTCTTAATATGCGATTATTGTTGTGACTATTTAGATATAGAAATGATTGAAGGCGTGCATCGTCCACACGACCTGCACTTCGACATTAATATTGAAAAACAAATGTATGATATTCAGTGTCGTACAAAAAAATTAAATATCGAGAGAGAACAAACTACTAAAGTGGATAAAGTGAGTATAAAATTTTTAATTTTTATTATATAAAAATGTTTAGATGGTAATAGAAAACTTCATATTGTGACAAGTATAAAATTTTCTCAATATGATTGGTATCTATAGGTATCTATAGAGCATAAAAATGAAATATCTCAACGAAGTGACAAAGAAAAATTAAATCGATGGAATGCGGATACATCTATAGATAGAATTGATAATATTAAACCCGGTACATCTCAAACAAACACCGCAACTGTGAGTACTAACATTAAAGTAATTGCGATGAAACTTTGTTTTGAAATAATAAAAATTTTTTTATTGATTTCTACATTCTTTTATAATACTCGAAAAAATTATACAAGTTGTTGTCAATAAATAGTTTTCAATCAGTAATTTTTCATGTCCTAAAATAAACTCTAATTAAAATTAATGCGTAAAGTAATTTGAAAATAACCTGTTTTTTGTACTTTTAGTTAAATATGCCAATGCGGCCGTTACGTGCGCCTAAAACAACGGGTAAGTATACTTTCATACTCTTTACACTGAATGTAACTGATACTTTACATAATATAATTGATATTTTCAGCTCAAGCTCTTGAGATAGATGAAACTATTGATCCATTAAACGAAGTCAATTTCCCACCAATTGGTAAAACATTTACTTTTGAAAATCATTTTCTTTTTTCTAATTTTTAGATTTAAAATTTATCTTGTAATAACAATGTAGTACAAGTAAACAAGTAACTGAGAATATATTATTAATATTATGTGTTTCTATACTGAAGATATTTTAATATTATACATTTTAATATAGGTGGACGAGGTACTACAATTCATAGAAAAAACAATGTACCGATTAAACTGCCTTTGGGAAGAGGTAAAATTTTATAGATTATATTGAATCTCAGTTTATAATTATATTTGAGAATTTTCTAACAGATTTTATATTTCTGTGCAGGACGTGGAAGATATTAAGTAAATAACTTTTGACGCTATACATTGAATTTTTTCTATGCCAACAAATTTACAAATAATATTTAAGATATATTCTTATAATTAAGACTTACATGATATATGTATAGTTGATTTTACAAAAAAAAGAAAAATAATATTTTGTTACCAAATTAGACAAAGAAAAAAGACGTTACCAAATTTTTGACAAAAATATAATATGAATACTATTATCTTCAATGTCTGGTTATGGATGAAAGAAAATGCAAGACTGTTTTACAAATTTTTTTGTAATTTTAAATCTGATTCTGTTGATTGTGTACTTTGAACTCATCATTCAGACTATAAATTTTATTTTAAAAAGTTTCTTCTTTAAAATTGTACTCAATGTAAACTATATTACACATTTTTAAATATGTTAAAATTAAAATTATATTACACAAATTGAATAATGAAATAAAAAATTTAGTTTTTGAAGTTTTTAGTTAAATCTTCTAACTAAATAAATATTATCATGCCAATAAACAAAGTAATGCCATCTAACAAAAAAAACTTTTTATGTGATAGAACTTCCAGTAGTGCCACGTGTTTCCAATAACATTGAAAGTATTTGGCATTGTAATACAAGTTGGTGAATGTATTTATCCTTACACGTATCTTCTTTCCTTGTCTAATACGATATCTTCGTTCCTTGTCTAGCATATAGATTATAAAAAAGGCAAGGAATATTTCTATACCGTTGTTAATACACAGAGTAAATAGATAGGATTTTGTAATATGAAGAAATCATATACTTAATTTTCTATCCTTTTTTCATTTATATACTTTTCTTAGCTAACATACCTTACCATTACTCTGGTTTCCTATTAAGTTTCTGCAAAATCTAGTGAGAAATTATAAAATATTTTTATCATTTTCTACATGTTGTTTCTTATCAGTGAGATTTTTCTTATCGCTTACAAATACTAACATACAATAAAAATAAAAATTAAGAAATAATATTTTCACTTATACTTTATGACTAAAATATTTATAAAATATTTGTTATTCGTCATAGAATATTATATGCTACTGTACTGTTAAATTTCAAATGCGATGTTCAGTTTACTTCAGTGAACAATATGTGCACTATATATTTAAATAGAAAAATTAGATACAGAGAGAATCAAGATATAATAGCAAATTGAATGACACTTGAAATAAAAGATTGTTATACTGCATCACGTCATCAATCAATCTTCTCTGACACAATCGATGCATTCGGCTTGGCTTAGTAACACACAAGTGCTTTAAAGATGTCGTTAGGTATATCTATTTCAACGTGATTGAACTTGCGACTTGTTTCAAAGAAGATTTCTGAATCACTTGGCTTGTCACATTGAAAATAAATTTAAAGTTTCTATATTTATATTTCGCGAATAATACCATAAATGAATATTAGTTAATCGCATAACATTAAATTTATTGTAATATTGAGATGATCACGCTATAGACATTTATAAAATACAAAATCTGTAAATTTTTGTTTTGCAAAAATTTTTCAGTAGCTAATTACTCAATTAATCGATAAACATTTAAATAAAATCTTATGTCGAATTATATTAATTACATTCATAAAACATTATTATTGTTGTTGTTGTTGTTGTTGTTGTTGTTATTATTATTATTATTATTATTATTATCATTATTATTATTATTATTATTATTATTATTATTATTATTATTATTATTATTATTATAAAACTATTTTATAAAATTAAACTATTATTATAAAACTAAAAATATACCGCATATTGTAAAAATATTTTAACAAATTTTGAAAAATATTCAGTATTGACTGAAATTTTGTTCAATGTTTGTAATATATATCATTTTCTTGCAAAGAAAAATTAATCATTTCAGTCATAAATTGCAAAAAGTAGTTTTAATTATTTAGGTACGCATTTATCTTTGTAACCGTTTTTATTGTCCGCATCTTTTGGTAATTCTGCCGATCGTCGATAGATGGTAGCGCAACAGCTATTTTGACACTTTCAAATTAGATTTACTTTTAAAATTGCTGCATTTATTAATTTAACAGTCCAATCAGCAATGAAATTTGAGCAATGAAAATACTTCGCCAACTATTCCTCTAATTAGTTAACAAATCGCTGACATTAACGACAAATTAGAAAGAAATAGCTTAACTACTGATTGGCGTGTTTCCGCATAACTGTTTCCAAGCAGAAAAGAACAGCCATCTTTTCGAGGAGATGATGCAATCGATGACACATACCGACTGTATTGCCTATCGTCTTGCAAATCATAAAAATTGTTGACCATAATTTTTGGCCGAACGAGTGGAATCGCAAAGCAAAATGTTAACGAAATCAGTTTTGCGTTTGCAACAAAGTCAAAAAACAGTTCCCATCAAACTATAGCCCATCGGATATTAAGCGAAAGCCGCCAGCTGGGAGTGCTATTTTGAACGAAGCGCAGTGTTGCCAGATCGCGGGCTGAACAAGTTCAAACACGTGCCCCGTGTTTTGCTCTTGGAAAGAGATAACTGCAGTCTGACAAAACAGAATGTTTGCTTTCCACCTCGTTCGCTTTCATTTCCTCGGTCGCCTCTTGGCGAAATAACCTGAAAATGTAACAGCAACATTACGCTCTTCAACAACAATACTTCATCTATTATCAAGTATTCCTTACGAACGTATGTCACATGTTTACATCATTAAACATGCGAATATTCAAACGACGAGGGAAACTTAAATCAGAAAACGACCGAAATGTTATACGCTCCAGTAAGCATTTTACGTATCATTCGACCTTACCCCAGTTTGACTTCCTGTAACAGAAATTGTAATAAAATAAGGATCCAGGTAATTGCGCGTTGCAGCATACGTTTATATACGATTGTGGTGTATGATTTTGGGAAGGATTTTCCAAAGGCGTGCGAGAGTTTGTCCACCAGCTGGACAAGAAAGTTCAGGTTCGGCGGAGAAGACGCGGCAACGCAGCAACTGCGTGAGCCGAGATGCGCGGCATGAATAGCACCACGACGTTGATGGGCCGGTCCTGTGTCAGGGGCTGGAGGCGAGAGGGACGCGGTAAAAGTTTCCACGACGGTGGGGATGGACAGGAAACGCTGAAACGAAAGGGGAACGCGATACCGCTCTGCATGTGGTGGTCGTCGGTGAGGGTAATATAACCGAGGTAATGTTACCGAGTTGCTGTTTACGGAGAGTTTTTGGAAATTTCAAAAGAGTACATCTAGCTTTTCCCAGCTTGAATTCAAAGCGCGGCTAAATCGAATTGTCCAATCGTGATTATCGAGCAGCCACTATTATCGTTGACATTCGTCGGGGAGAGCATATGCTTCATGAGAATCGAGCTAACGGGAACACTTATCTTTTAGAAATACGTACGCACGATACATTTTGCCAATTATCGAACGGATCAACAACGTATACAATGTTACGGCATCCGCGTGGAACTCCTTGCGCGCCAATCGATTTGAAACTCTGCCACTTCGATTTTTCTATCCGAGAACAGAAACAGCTTGAATATTTCACGAAAAAGAGTCGAATGTGTATTAAAAACGATGTTTCTCTCAAACTTGAGAAATTTGCCAATAAAACGACTCGAGAGAGAGAGAGAGAGTAGGCACGGTCAAGTTGTAAAATCTGAAATGTTTAATCGCCACTATGCAATAACAGCTTGAAGAAATTACTTCTATTAGGTAGCAGATATTTTTATTGCTTTCTCCATTATACTTATACAGCTTTTTATAAGTTAACGAGGTGCGTTTATAGGTTAAGAAAGGGATCAAAATGAAATTGCATTGCTCGAAAATGCTTGGTTTGAAGATTCTCGAGAAACGTCGGGGTATAGTGGTAGGCACATCAGCGACGGTGAAATCGTAGAGGGGACAACCCCTCCTGCCCTACTCCGGTGCGCGCAACGTCATTGTGCTGTGTTGGGCCATGATCGTTGGAGTGTGTGTGCGTCGCTCAAGCTACGCGCAGACTTGCCCAGTAAATACGAGGCTTCCGTTCCCTTGTGCGTGTCGAAAGAGTGCGTAGTAAAAAGGAGGTGTAAAGTCTCGTCTCGTTGGCATCCCGTATCATCGGCGTGCACCATCATGCCGTTGAGTATTGGGGTTAACCTAAGAGTGACCGGACACTGTAATCAGGGCGGTCGTAAGTACATGGAGGACATGTTCAGCGTGGCCTTTCAGTCGACACCGGATGACAAAGATCTGGAATATGCCTTCTTTGGCATATTCGACGGCCACGGCGGCGGCGAGGCAGCTACTTTCGCCAAGGAACACCTGATGAACGTTATCGTCAAACAGAAGAATTTCTGGAGCGATCGTGACGAGGATGTGCTTCGAGCCATCAAAGACGGATACGTGAATACACACTATGCGATGTGGCGGGAGCTCGGTAAAAAATTCATTTTCGTTGTTTCTCCCCGTTGTTTCTATCGCTTTCGTCCGTTTCCCGCCAAATCCTGCCGCTTCATCGACATATTCATCGAAAAACGTGATGCGCTTGGCATTTTTTGTAGAATTTCTCTCATTGTCCCGCGTATTTCCCCCACCACCTGCGCCCGATTAGGTTAGAATTTAGGTTATGTAATCCGAGCTAACCTGAAAGTTTGAGCTCGATGAAAAAGTAGTTGAGAGAAAATATTCGATGTCGTTCGTATTTCCCCGATCGATTTGCCCGTTGTGAAGCGCAGTATCGTAGAGGGTGATTTCCCATGGGGATTCGTCGTGAGAATATACATTGACGAAGATGTACTTTTGCGACAGACAAGTGGCCGAGAACCGCATCCGGACTACCATCCACGGCTGGGACTACGGCTAGCATAGCCTTTATTCGCAAAGGCAAAATTTACCTGGGTCACGTGGGAGATTCTGGCATAATATTGGGATATCAAGTAGATGGTGATCCTCAGTGGCGTGCTGAAGCTTTAACCAAGGACCATAAACCAGAGAGTGGTCCTGAAATGATGAGGATACACGAATCTGGTGGTAAAGTTGTTAGCAAATCCGGGGTTCCAAGAGTTGTCTGGAACAGACCTCGTATTGGACACAAAGGGCCTGTTCGAAGATCAACACATATAGATGAAATTCCCTTTCTTGCTGTTGCTAGATCCTTAGGTACATCCTTATATTCCTGTTGAAACAGTCTTACATTATTGTTGAAATGTCAGAAAGAAACCCATAAGAATCTGTGAATTATTAAATAATTAAAAATCTTCTGTTTCATAGGTGATCTTTGGAGTTATAACTCTGAATTAAACACATTTGTAGTGTCTCCGGAACCAGATGTTAAAGTAGTTACAATTGACGTTGAATCACATCGTTGTCTTATTTTTGGAACAGATGGCTTGTGGAATATGTTAACACCTCAAGCTGCAGTGTCTATTGTCCAAGCTGCAGATAGACATAATGAAAAGCATCTCATTGCTTCTCAACAAACATGTAATGGGGTATGTTTAGATGAAACTTGTATAATATATTAAATGTACAAAGATATGTTTGTACATTTCATGTTTGTACAATTTCTACTTTAAATAGCAAGCTGATAATGTTCATCTATGGATAAATCCTTCGAAAAGCCTTGTGGATAGAGCATTGGAAAAGTGGTCATCAAAGAGATTACGTGCAGATAATACAAGCGTGGTTACATTGATGTTAGATCCACCAGGTCCATCTCGTAGTGAGGTATATGTTATTAAAAAATATATTTTTAATAACTGTAAGAAAAAGAAGTTGAAAGATGTAGGAAAACATATTGATCAGATTGTCGAACAAATTTCTTTTCTTTTTTGAAAGGTTCTGCTTAGTCAGAAGGAGTGTGTTGTGACCCATCATACTATCCACACACCTACAGCTACACTTTCAGAAGCTCCAGCAAGACATAATTGTAATCCAGTCTCTTCAGGTATATCAAGGCCTTCTCCTATAATAAATCATAATGTTGATTTGAAAAGGCCAGATATTCCTGAGGAAATACAAGAGAATAGAAAAGAATCAAATGTTGAAAACATATGTACACCAATAGAGAAAGTTGAAAAAAATCAATGTCAAAAAAATGAAACACACACGAATATTCCAGAAAATTTGTTAAATGAAAACATTCAATCTGTGGAATCATCGTCCAATAAAACATTAGAAAAAAGTATAGAAGTAAATAGTCCGAAATCCGAAGCAATTCCAGCGGAAAAGACAGAACCTATCACGGAACCAAAAACGACAATTAAAGAACACGATATATCAATTGAACAGAAAAATTCAAAATCATCTCGGCAGTCACCGGAGGCAGAAAAGAAAAACGATTCTAACGTTTCAAATGTGATACACCAAAGTGCATTTTCTAGTGAATGTAATGGTACACACTCTTCCATGGCCGTTACCACGGAGTGCAATGGGATGGTTCCGAGAAGTACTAACTGTAATGAGAACGAAGTAAAAGCTAATGTATTGAACGGATCATGTCATAAACAAGCGACATTGTTTTCCACTTCGAGAAAGGATGTTCGAAGCGCGAGAAGACACAACTTAACAGCTCATTCGCGAAATACATTGGTAGATGCAGGTTCTTTAGAAACGAAGACATATGTAAATTCTAGACTTAAATCGCGTAGTACAAAAGTGACGGGGAATACGATAGAGGAGAGTGTGAGAAGTTCAACGAACAAAACGAGCGATAGTGCTATTGGTAAACGAAGACACAGTGCAATATCACAGAATGTAGTTAACACGGTCGAGGAGTCATGTATATTACAAGAGCCATGCGTTAAAAGGAGAACGCGCTCAGAGGATCGTCCGAATCCGGTCGACGAAAATGATCCAGCAAATCAAGCCACGAAAGATGCGAGTAGTAGTTTAAGTTGGCCTACCACGGACTCCAATATTGCTCGTTCCACGGCTGGTGCTACCACTGTACCTGTACAAGAAAGACTGTCGTCGCTAAATACCTTCCAAAGAAATTTGGGAAAGAAAGCTACGCCCGTGAAGGCTATCAGAAGACCGTCTATCAAAGGTCTGTTGAAACAGTTGTTGGCTGTTAGTCTCAGAGAGTGGGAAGGGAGAAACAACCGATCGAATAACTGTAACGAGCGGAGGATAAAACGAACTGTATCTATTATAGGTTCTGCGGATGATACGAATGTCCCGCAACGTTGGCTCAGGTTGGTCTTCATTTCATTTGAATGCTTCCTTTCTTTTTCTTTTTTTATCATGTCAACTAACAAGTTTATATTTACACAAACTGTTTTTGCAATTTCTCACCTGGCAATTTGTATCTTTTTTTTTTTTTT